GACCTGACACCACTCCTACTCAGATTATTCCAGAACATAGAAAAGGATGGAATCCTCTCAAATTCATTTTATGAAGCAAGCATAACCATGGTAGCAAAACCAGGCAAAGACACCACTAGAAAGGAGAACTACAGACCAATATCCCTCATGAATATAGATGCAAAAATCTTCAACAAAATCCTAGTGAATGGACTTCAACAACATACTAAATAAATAATGCATCATGACCAAGTGGGATTCATACCAGGTATGCAAGGATGGTTCAGCATTAGAAAAACAACCAGTATAATACCTCACATAAGTAAAATAAATGAATCACAAGATCATATCAGTTGATGCAGAAAAGGGCATTTGATAAAATCCAACACCCATTCCTGATAAAAACTCTCAGAAATAGAAAAAGAAGGGAAATTCCTCAACATAATAAAGGGCACATATGCAAAACAACAGCAAACATTATTCTCAGTGGAGAGAGACTGAAGCCATTCCCCTTGTGAACAGGAACCAGACAAGGATGCCCCATATCTCCACTCCTATTCAACATTGTATTGGAAGTCCTAGCCAGGGTAATAAAGCAAGAAAGGGAAATCAAAGGCATCCAGTTGCTAAGGAAGAAGTAAACTGTCCCTATTTGCAGATCATATCTTATCCATAGAAAACCCAAGAAACTCAGCAAGAAAATCACTGAAACTTATTGAGAGATTTAGCATAGTGGCAGCATACAAGGCAACATGCAAAATCCATTGGATTCCTCATCACCAGCAAAGAGGTCTCTGAGAAGGAAATAAAGAATCAATACTGTTTACAATAGTTACCAAAAAGATAAAATACTTGGGAATAAATCTTACCAGGAGCACAGAAGTTCTAAACAAAGAAGACTACAAAACACTACTTCAAGAAACAATGAGATGTATATAAATGGAAGAATATAGCATGCTCATAGATAGGAAGACTGAACATTGTGAAAATGTCAGTACTACCCAAAACAATCTATACATTCAATGCAATCCCAATCCAGATCCCATCAACATTCTTAAAAGACATGAAAAAACCAATCCCTAATTTTATATGGAAAGAAAAGAGACCTTGGATAAGCAAAGCACTACTGAAGAAGAACAACAACATAGGAGGTCTCACACTGCCATATCTCAAAACCGACTATACAGCCACAGTAATCAAAACATCCTGGGGTTGGTACGATGACAGACACATAGACCAGTGGCACAGAATTGAGAACCCAGAAATAGACCCATTGACCTATGGTTAGCTGATCTTTGACAAAGGGCCAAAATCCATTAAATAAGGGAGAGATAGTCTCTTTCACAAGTGGTGCTAGCAAAACTGGTTATCCATTTGCAGAAAAATGAAACAAGATCCCTCCCTCACATCATGCACAAAAACTAACTCCAGGTGGATCAAAGACGTCAGTGTGAAACCTCAAACTATAAACTTTATCAAACAAAAAATAGGGGCAAACTTCGAGGCCCGAGTTTATGGTATAAATAGATAGTTAAGCAAAGCTCAAGATGCACAAACGGCAAAAGATGAGCTCGATGACGAGGACCGTCTGAAAATGAGATTCTTACGTGCATCAAAAGACTTCTCCAAAAAAGAACGTACAGATTGGGGGAAAAAAAAATCAGTAATGAAATATCAGACAACTTATCTCTAATATTTATAGAGAACTTTAACACCTCAACATCAAAAAGAAAACAATCCAATTAAAAAATGGGCAGAAGACATGGACAGATACATCACCAAAGAAGACATTCAGGCACCCAGCAAACACGTGAAGAAATGTTCCTGATCATTAGCCATTCCAAAAAAAACCAAACTCGCTGCCATCGAGTCGAATCCAACTCATAGTGGCTTCAAGACACAAACTCCACAAAAAGATACTCAGAGGAATATCACTCCCTATTCCATCACTTCAGCCCAATTCCCACCCGCTCCCTGTAAGGAACAAATCTCATTATTTTTTTGCTTATCCTTCTGTTCACAAAAATAATCAGAATTTGTTTTTTACTCTTCTTTCTTACGCATATAGTATGATATTATATGTTGTTGTTGTTTGCTGTCGAGTCAGATCCGACTCATGACAGCCCCTCCTTGGGTTTCTGAGGCGGTATCTCTACGGAAGTAGATTGCCCAACCTTCCTTCTGAGGAGTGACTGGTGAGTTTGAACCGCCAGCCTTCTGGTTAGCAGCCAAGTGCCTTAAGCACTACGCCACTAGAGGTCCCAAGGATATTATATATAAAAAGATATAACAAGCTCTGTGTTTTTTTTTTTTTTTTAACTTGCTCTTTAAATTGATAAGGTATCCTGGGAATCACTCCCTTTCAGTTCATGGAGATTTCCTCATGTTTTTACAACTTGTTTTTGTTGTTGTTGAGAATATGCACAGCAGACACACCAGCTCAGCAGTTTCTCCGTGGACAATGGCATGAGGTCCAGCACATTCTTCAAGTTCTGCAGCCATTCTCACTCTCCTCCTCTGAGTTGTTCCTTCTGCGTTAACATAAACTCACCGCCCCTAGGTCTCCTATCTAAACTTTTAAATTGCCATTGTCAGTTTGATCCCTTATAAATCGATCTTGAAAGAGCACACTGCTCAAGGCAGTCCTTTAGAAGTTAAGCTACACGATTGTTCGGTTTGAAGAAGTCTTCAGGGGGTATTTGAAGGTTTAAGATTATCTCAGGGAATTCATCCAGCCCTCTTAGCTCCATAAAGTCTGAATTCTGTGATAATTTGAATTTCTTTCCTGCATTTTCCTTCATTTGATTGGTATTCTTTTATAGAATCTTTGACCAAAGTGTTCTATAATGGTAGCTCGTAGTGCCAGAAGTCTGCTAAATTCAGGAGGAGACAGAATCACCATCAGCCTAAAGCTGATTCCTGTGAGGTGGAGGTCAGGAAGTAGCTCCTCTCTCCAACCTTTTTACCAGTTCTAACGCCAGCTCACTCTCCCACACTTTCTCTTCTGAGTTTGATAATTAATTACAATGGTTAAACAGAACTCACAGACCTTACTTACTAAAGTAGTAACAGTACAACTGGGGTTAGGACCAACAGGGTACACCTTCGGATCAGGGAGCCAGTAGACAGGCCCTCCCTGAAGTGGAGGGCACATCCCCTACCCTTCAGCACAGCTCTCACTCCTTGCAGGTGCAGCTGTGCAAGCTTGCAGACCCTTCTCTCTGCCACACATCCCCCTGTGATGAAATGGGTTTCTTAATGTGGACTTTTGCCAGGGTTCTGTGAAAAAGAAAGCAAACAGTTTGGGCGATTATTTCTCCTGGGCGCTGAAGGGTTGTTGGAGTAGCCCTTGTCTAGTTCCCAGGGAAGAAGCCAGCCTCCACTGGCAGAGAAATGTCAGCTATTATGCAGGTAGGTGGAGCCATTGCCAAGGGGACTGGTCAGGTTACTCCAGTGAGAAGACTGCTCAGTTATTATACAAGTAGTAAAATCCACCCAATAGGATTGCGTCACTTGCCTCACTAAGCAACATCCCATAGAGGATGGGATGAGGCTCCTTATTACCATCAAGAAGAACCTAGAGTGGAGTGCATACTTTGGCTATGGGTTTCCTGTGCTGAGAACCTCCTAGAGCCAGGAAACAGAGAGCTGTAACACTGGAGTGGTAGCAGCACAACCAGGAGACTGGCATGAGATGGCATGGTGGACTCCATGGCTACAGGGTGTGTCCCAAATCATGGAGTGAAAGAGCTCCAACTCTTTAGATAGAGGGCTAGCTGGCAGAGTGGGGGTCCTCCAGGCACTTGTTGGCAGAGCTAAAAAAAAAAAAAAAAAGAGAGTATCACTTATCTGAGCACGGGGCAGAGGCGAGGCATGAGAACACAGAGCTCATGCCAAGAACAAAGGGCTGGCTGCAGCAGCTGAGAATACGCTGTCCTGATCAAGTAACCACATCCGGAGTTATTCTTGTTTTCAAATTAATTCTGATCCTATATTACTTCCCTACTAAACCATATAATTGTGCATATGGTCTATGAATGACTATTACAATGAATTATTGAACCAAGCTATTAAATTTTGAGGAATTTGTATTAGTTGGGCCAAGTGAAGAAGGATGTGGGGGTGTGGTAGGTACTGGGGCATGAGAGTATGGCAGGCCCTGAAACCATAAGTAGTAAAGTCTAGAGCATGGAATATAATGAGATCATGGGGAGCAGGTGGCTGGAGAGGTCAGCAAGGTTCAGATCAGAAAGTCCAAGAAGCAGTTGCTCTCAGATCGCATGACTCCACGGGCACACTGTTCATACCACAGTCCACATACGTGATGCTCCTCGGGTCTATAATGTGCTGCTCTCAGATCGCATGACTCCACGGGTGCACGATTCATACCACAGTCCACATACGTGATGCTCCTCGGGTCTATAATGTGTTTCTCTCGGATTGCATGATTCCACGGGCACACTGTTCATACCATAGTCCACATATGTGATGCTGCTTGGGTTCTATAATGTGTTTTTCTGGGATCTCATGATTCCACGGGTACACTGTTCATACCACAGTCATATATATGATGCTCCTTGGGTTCTATAATGTGCTGCTCTCAGATCGCATGACTCCATCGGTGCACTGTTCATACCGCAGCCCACATACGTGATGCTCCTTGGGTTCTATAATGTGGCACTTAGAAGGATGACTTTTATCCGTTCATCTAAGAAGGAAGCGAGGGAGGAAGTGGGTGGTGGAAAAAGACCCCATTACTAGAGCAAGTATCCAGAGGCCCCAGGAAGACTACAGAAAAGGCATCTCCTGAAGTCCTGCGTGGTCATGAATCGTTCAGGCTCCCACGTGCACATTCATGGCCTTGAAGGTGGATGTCCTCTAGGTTTCATTGCAGGGTCTGTCTTACCCAGATGAGTAATGCTAGGCTAGCAATAATCCTTTTTCCTGTGGAAGATAAGGGAAAAGGAGTCAGTCTCCTCAGAGGCCAAATGGTTTCATGTGATTGAACCTCTCTTCCCCAGGAATGTTGAAATTCTCCTGAATCTGGTGTCCTCGGGAGAACTGCCTCCTGAGGCCAAGCCCCCTGAAAACATGCTTGCTAACGCACGCTCCACGTTCGACACTTGGATTGACAGCCTTCCTTATTCCACCAAGAAGGTGGTCCTCAGCAAGGTGTCTACCTGTAACATAAAGGATAAGCTTTTGAAGGTCAGTAAAGGTAGCTGCAGGGGTGGGGCTAGGATTCCTCAGAGTCTGATAGACCACAGAAATGTTGGCTTTTATGAGGACCAGAAAACAGCCCAGAAGCACCAGGATAATCTGCAGTCCTGGTGGTGCAGACAGCTCCCGTTGGCAGAATGCTCTTCCATGCATAATGCTGGGCATGGTGGTTTTGCAGGTCAGAGGGTCAGCTTGGAGATATGATCTTCTCAGAGACTTGGGACTTTAGGAGTGTTCCAGGAAAGATGGATTATGTCGCCATCTGTCTCCTTCTGCACTTTTCTCCCTTTACAGGTCAAGCAGGGCTCAACCTTTGCCTTCCTGGCCTTCACTGAAGCCATGTCGTTCATTCCTGGGTCAGCCCTCAGGTCCATCCTCTTCCTCATGATGTTACTGAGCATAGGACTGAGTGGCACCGTAGGGATCATGCAAGCCATCATTACTCCACTGCAGGACACCTTCCCTTTCTTCAGACGCCATCCAAAGCTGCTCATAGGTATTCTGACCTATAGTCCTACTCCCCTCAACAGCCCTGACTTCACAAAGACTCTTATCCTGCACTGGTCAATGACCTCTGCTTTGCCCTTGTCACCCAGCCAGACCTCTGACCTTGATCCCAAACCAATGTTTTCTCCAGTGAGCGTCTCCTTGCTCATGTTCCTGCTCAGCCTCTTCTTTGCTCGACCATCAGGCTACTATTACTTCAGACTGCTGAGTCACCACTGGGTAGTCCATCCTGTCATCGTCATCACTTTGGAAACTGTGGCTATAGCCTGGTTCTATGGCTCCAAGAGGTGATGACATTTTTACTAACGTTGGATCTGTAGAGGTTGACCTTTTCTTATTGCCTCTACTACTCACCCAACTAGAGTGACATAGCCATAGACCCTTGACTTCAAGGTCTTCTGGGAAACCTTTGTGTTCATTCACTCATTTGCCATGTTCGTGGAGTGTGTAATATGTGTCAGGCACTGTTTTAGTCACTGGGGATGCAACATTGACTCAAACAAGCATCCGTGCCCTCATGGAGCTTACATTTTAGTGGTGGGGAGAGACAAAGACCAAACAAACAAATGAAAACAAAATGTAAAAGTGTCAGTGGGCCTAAGGGACGGAGGAATTCAAAGGGTCAGGTAAGATGATCAAGAGTAGGAGCAGTGTGGGTGCTAATTGAGGTGGGATTTCAGGACAAGCCTCTCTGATGAGGTGTCGTTTGAGGGGAGTCTTGAGTGAAATGCTGGAGGAGACCATGGGAAGGTTTTGAGAAGGAGTGCTGCAAGCAGAGGACACAGCAGGGCCCAGAGGAAGCGCCTTGCCAGCAGTTTTTGAGGAACCAGGAGGACAGAGAGGCTGAAACTGAGGGAGTGAGGAGAAGAGTGTCAGGAGCTGAGGCGCAGGAGGTTGAGGGGGCAGATCGCGGAGGGCCCTGCAAGCTTTTTATGCAGAATGAGGCTGGACGTGTTGGAGGACTTTGAGGAGGAGAGAGACATTACCAGACTCATTTTTAAAAAAAATGTGCCAATGTCTGCTTTGTGGAGAGTAGACGTTAAGGCCCCAACAGTGAAGCAGGGAGAAGTGTTGGGAGCCATTGTACTATTCCAAGGGTGGGCCAACAATGGCTGGGGTGTGGGACGTAGGTAGAGAGAAGTGGTCCGAGTCTGTGTACAGTTTGAAGGCAGAGCTGAGAGGGAAGAAGGAACAAGACAGTCATAGACTGGGGTGTAGACGAGGTAATGGGAGAATCCCAACCACACACAAGGGGCTCCTGAGCCTGGCTGTTTACCAGGCTGGTGTGTGGACATCCAGGTGGAATCGTTCAAGGGTAAAAGGATCAGGTGGCAGCATTTTTGATGCTAGTGGTTCTTGGACTCAGTTCACCCATTTATTAATCACTGAAAGAATTCTTGAGATTCTTTTCTGTATGAAGAAAGCCCTGTGGTACTGTAATAGGACTGAATTCAATTTAGTTCCTTCTCTCTCAAAGCAGAGAGTCCAAAGAGGAAGACCAATGTCTGCTGAAAAGGAGAGTAGAGTGGTTGGTCTGTAATAAAAGTACCTTGGACAGCGCCGGAGCAGAGATGCTCCTGCAGGGAAGATGGGCTGTCAGGAAGAGCATCTCGGAGGACGGGATGCTTGAGCAGACTCAAACAGAAAGCGTGAGAGGCAGGGATAAGGAGACTAAAGGACTCTACTGTGTATTTATTGAGGTTGAGGAAGTGTCCTTGAAGGAGACTGCATATGTGGACTCACAAAAAAGTGAAGTAAGCTCTCTGAAGGCAGAGTGTCCTTTGTTTCTGTCCCTGTTGCTCACCGCTGGGTACCCGACCTCTAGAAGAGTCCCCAACACATCACAGACATTCTCACGTTTGTGGAATGAATGAAAGAAGCTGGGGGTCTTATCCTGAGGGGTATCCACGGAAGGTTCTTGAGCAGTACAGGGATGTTTGAAAAACCTTGGGTTGGGATGGAGGGCAGACTGACTCAGGGAGAAGATGAGAGAGGATAAGGCTTGAGGTGGGGCAGGAGTTTGAAGGTGAAATCGAATGTTTGAAATACGTTAAGGCCAGATTGGCCCTTACCCAAGGCTGGGGAGGGCCTGACTGGCCTCCCCCATTCTTGTGGCTCTTCCTCCCAGGTTCCTTGCAGAGATGATGACCCTGATGGGCCACCCCATATCACCCATCTTTCATTACCTGTGGTGCTATGTGTGTCCATTGGTGCTGCTAGGCCTGACTCTAGTCACCCTGTTTTACATATTTACAAAGGACTTCACCTACATGGCCTGGAACTCAAGCATTGTGAGCCTCCCTCCCCAAGCCCCAGAACCCCTAGGGAGTGGGGGCCAGACCTTTCAATCCACTCGCGGCCTGAGGACCCCGTGGTCTCGTTCTCTGATGCCTCAAAAGCTCATCAGTCCCCTGCCCTGGTTCCTCTGCCCCTCTTTTCCTTCCTCTTCTCCTGGGCACCTTGATGTTCTGAACCCCTTTCTTATCTCTCCACAGTCAAAAGAAGTGCTAAAAGAATACCCAGTGTGGACGCTCAAATTGGCAACCATCTTAAGTATCATTGCCTTCCTACCTGTCCCTCTCTACTGTGTATACTGCCTCATCCACAAGGTCCCCTTCAGGTGCTTCACCTTCAATATGCCTTCCACGGTCTCCAAATCTCTCATTCTAAGGAGCCGCCTAAGGGTGCCCAGGAGAGATTTCCACAAGGAGGACATCTGGCAAGATGAGAAAAGAAACGGCTGATGGACCTGTCGAGTGATTTCATGACTTTGTAATAACTTCATTCATGTGGCCTGCCCTCACACAAAGTTCAAAGCTGATCTAACAGGCAGTGTCTAACATTAACTTGCAACTGTTGATATCTCTGGACCCAGAACCTCTTCTATTTCCAGAGGTGCGGGCATTTGTGTGTGGGGGGGGACTCATGGGGGCCTGACTTTGTTGCCCCTCCAAAACCCTGGTGACCACCATGATTATATCGACACCATGCCTTTCCTGAATCCACACACGTAAAACTCGTGTACACTGTTGGTGACGACTGCTGGACCTATTTCTTCTGGTCTGTTCATCTGGAATGGAACTGGAAGAGTCAACACTGTTACTCAATAAATCAGTCTCAGTCCACTGGGACCTGAGGCCCTGGGTGTGTGTAGACCATTTAAAAAAAAAAAGAAAAAAGAAAAGATGTCTCAAGTGTTCATTCTTCTTCCACAAGGTTTCTGTTCTTTCAACAGCCAAAGGTCGAGCCCTGACGTCCTGCCTATTCCTTGCCTTGGCAAATTCCCATACTAAAGGACTAGATTTGTCTTCCCCAAGTCTTGGTCTTCAGCCAGGTTGGAGAGGCCTTACCCAGGAAATGGTGGCTTCATGAAAGATGGAATGACCATAAATGGGCTTGTGAATGGGTTGTGGTGGTCCTGTCATGAATCTTAACTTTTTTTTTTTTTTTATGAAGAGGTTGTGTCCATAGTTCCAAGAATGTTTTGTGGATGAAGTGCATCTGTGAGTCCATCACAGCTAGTTTTGGGGACCACCAAGTTATTATGCTGGTAAGCTAGTCAAAGGCCAGATCTGCTTGGAAGAGACATCACTAGTTGTCCCACGGGGCTAAATCAAATAAATGTACCCAGTAGAGGTTAACTGAGTGGGTCTCTTGGAAATTGTGGGAGGGGTGGCTCCATAATGGAATTGAAGTACCACCCAGTAGTGGATGAGGATGACCAGAGGATGGGTTTCTCTCAAATGTTTAGAAATAACAGGCTTTTGGATAGTTTAGGGCCCATGAGAAGGTTGCTCCCAGGCTAAATTGAGAAAAGAAGACACCCCGACCTACTGGAGGATGGGATTTGAGGGGTGTGTCTGGGAATGAAAAAAGGAGCGGTCCTAGATGCCTTTGCACTTCGGAAGTCCCGCCTCAGGATGGAAAATAAAGCGAGGCTTGCACCTTTTTGTCCGTTGGCTGGACACCCTGTAGCCCCGCCCCTCACAGTCCCTTCCCCCATCTCAGTCAACGGTCTGTGGCTCTGTCTGCTTGAAGCTTCCTGCCGTTGAGTCGGGTAAGGTGGAGATTGGAGAGAAGCCACGGTTTTCGTTATCTCCTGAACATCATCTTCCCCTTTGGTAACCCAGCCTCTCCATGGTCCTTCTGTCCCCACTTCCAGCTTGGAGGATGGAACCAATGGGAGGGGCATGGAAAGTACAATTTACCCAGTAAACCGGTTGTGGGGGGGGACGAGGACCTCGTAAGTTTCTCCTCCTCCCACTCTGAATTTTTCTCTTCTCGGGTCACTTGCTGAATGTCCTAAGGCATTGGAGGCTAGTATTGATCACGTAGCCCACGTTGAGGCAGGCGCTCTGATTGAGAGGTGGAAGGACTGGTCTCATTGTATGTATCGCTTGTCTACACAGCTCGAGAGACACTTCCTGTCTCAAGTCCGGTCTCCAGCACCCTTGTGCGTGATTAAAAGATTTTCTTTTGCACTGCTGTGGAGAATCCCTGTCCTTGTTAGAAATGGAGCCAAGTCCATTGGGAGGCTATCCTTTACAGACGGTCTTCACTCCTATTCCTCAGAATGGTGCGAGATGGGTATTGTCAACCCTAGACCCAGAAGGAATAGGCATTGCTATATCTTTCAAGAGTCTTTTAATCTCTAGTCCTTCTCCCATTTTTTTTTTTTCTCTTTTCTTGCAATTGATTTGTCGATAAAACTGGGTTATTTGCTCTGTTCTGGATTTTGCTGGTTGGTTCTCTGTGGTGTCGCTCAACACGTTCCTCTCTCCACTGTATAAAGTGGTAGTTAGGATGAGAAATTGATTAGTTTTCAATTCAGTATTTTAATGAATATTTCAATTCAGTATTCATGGGTAACGCATTCATGCATTATGTCCTTCTCCCAGGGGCACAAAATATCTGATGGTCTCTCGTCATGTTAGCAGCCACCATGACCACTGTCTGTATCCTGTTATCATTAGAGATGGTGTTGATATTCTCACTTTATCATTTCTCATTTTGTTGTTGGCTAGAATACTTCCCCTCATCGATATTTGTACAGGAAAGGCAGAATGAATGTTTGATTTTTCCCTCTGTTTACCACTTTGAAAAAATGGATTCACGGCTTAATATCCTCCAAAAATGATCACTGAGGTTTTTCTTCTTTTTTTCTCTTTTTAGTATTTTTATGAACTTGTGGATTTCAACACATTTAATGTGTGTCTGTCCATTGTAGCCATTCTTCTTGATACTCAAATAATCTCTTCTTTGCCTAATGAAAGCTTCTTCAGGTTAACTCCTGAGTCCTTTTCACAAGACCCAAGTAATCTTTAATAATTCCCTTGCTTTCTTGTGGGATCTCTGGTAGTGTAGTGCCTAAGGCACTTGACTGCTAACCAGAAGGCTGGCAGTTCAAACCCACCAGACACTCCCTGGAAGGAAGGTTGGGCAATCTCCTTCTGTAGAGATACTGCCTCGGAAACCCAAGGAGGGGTCGCTATGAGACGGATCTGACTCGACAGCAGTGAGTTGCTTCCTTGTATGACAGTATGGTCCCAGATTAATTTGTACATTTCACACCCAAGACCTGAAATCAGTTATTTTCCCACATGTATTCCTTTTAATGGGAAGTGGTATCTAGACACCATAATTTTGTGTTTGGGGGTGTTCACTGCTTTAGCATCTGGTCATTGTTTCTTGGCCTCTTCAAAGGATAAAGCCAGGAAATTTTCCTAAGATAAAAATACACCAAAAATTCATATCAATTCTTTCAATTCAAACTCAGAGTTCTCACTTACATTTTTTTTTTTTTCTCATGTGATGTTTGTTTCTGAGGAGTAAGTTTATACCCTCAACCCCTCTCCCTCATTGTTTGTCAAATCGAATCCATCATGGTCTCTATCAGTTTTGCCCCCTAAACGTGCACCTCTGTCTTCTATGTTTCCACCTAGGGTTAGAGCAGAGTTTAAACCCTGGTGGATTAGATCCTAGGCAGGTAAACTGAGGCAAAACCTCCGTCTCAGTATTCTTTATGATGAGGTTTCTAGAGGTCTAAAATTGAAATGCCCACCTGTCGTGACTTTGGGGTAAGTTTGTGGGGTAGTGTTCTGGTTCCCTAGTGCCACTCTGACAAGAATATACCACAAATGGGACGGCCTTAACATACAGGAGTTTATTGTCTTACAGTTTGGAGGCTATAAGTCCAAGTGCAAAGTGCCAGGCTCT